TGAATTATCTCCACCTTGGAAAATTGCACATCCAACCAATGAGGGGTGATCCATAAATGAATCAACCTTAAATATTTCTTTTTTTTTTTTTTGGTGCAAGTTCACAAAGTTGAATTTTTTTTTCTGGTTTGTGAAAAAAAAAAAAAACTGAAATTCAAGATTTGTTTGGGTGCTACATATGAGACAGACCCGTTTCTTGATTCTCATCAGCAACCAAATCTTGGGAAGTAGCTGAAGGATTTAGCCTATGTACTAACATGAGTGAGCAACCTCACCCAGCCAAAGTGCTACATGAGCTCCCAATCATCTGTCTTGATTTCTTCTTCAATTGCTAGAGCCTAGCTCTCTCTCTCTCTCTCTCTCTCTCTCTCTTTCTGTGTTTTTAAAAGAGAATCCAAAGCTTTGTTTGCTGCTGAGAACTTTTGGTTCTAATCTCATCCCCAAATCAATTCCAGAATCTGGCATTAAATCAACATCTGGAATCGGTGGCTCACTTCATATTTATGAGGGTGTGAACCGGGGTTTGGGCCATCACATGAGGGTTGAATTATCCCCAAGCCCAGACCCCAGAAATGCACTGGGGAATAAACCTTTTTTTTTCTGGGTGCCAAATCATCAGCCTCCAGACCCATTTCTCTGGGCTTCTCAGTCCAATATCATCCTTTCCTTGTTCTTTTTTCCCTTCAGACTTTGGTTTGGTCAAGCTCACAGACACTCAAGAGCAATTTTCAGTACATCAAACTGCAGCCCCCCCCCCAAAAAATGTGAAATACTAGGAATCTCTTATATGAGCAATAAAAGTCTTTGCCCCAGGGTTAAGGGTGTCTACAACACCCATTGCAATGTCCCAAACCCTGGGGGATTACACATTGGGGTGAGACCCTGGGGGTGTGTATTTCATTTGGGTTACAGCCTTACCCCCCCCAATTCTGACAGGAGGTCATCCACCCATGGGTTGGCCAGGCTCAGGCTAGGTTTGGGATGGGCTCAAGCAGCAGAGACAGGAAATTTCCTTCAACTTGAGTCAGCGTAAAAAGGGAGGTTAGGTCAGACCTGGAAGTTGACAAAGAATGCTACTTCAGGCTACTTTCAAACTCTTGGAGAGTCTCATAAAGGAGTTGTTTGGTTGACCCCACCACACACACACATCCCCTTAAGCTGAGCATGAAATTTCACTTGATCCCATCAGGCATGATTGATGAATTCAAAACTCCCCAAACTTGAAGTTTGAATGATTTGTGGTTCCAGGAAACATCATCTGATACCTGGTGTGGGTACCCGCCTGTTTTTTCACCTCAGATGCCAACACCCACACCTGCACCCAGCACCTGTTTCCAAGTACCTGCTTTGGAAAACAGTTACCTGCAAATGGGTGCTGGGTAGCCGCTTCCGGTGTGGAACTACTCTTGGGATGAATAGAGCTGGAGAGGGAAAGATGCTTTAATGGGCCGCCTCTCTGGTAACTGGGTTGAGTAAGATGACAAGAAAGATAAGAGTATGGCAGGATCTGATGAGTAACAAATGAAGAGGGGAAAACAAGGCTCCTTATATACAACATCTGGGGAGTGGCCAGCTTGTGGTTGGAACAAAATGGAACAAGAGAAAATTATCAAACTGAAACAATGTGGCCCAACTGGTAGGCACTAAGATAAATGGGGTAAATTACATCAGAGACATGCAGGGATGAAATGTGCCACAACCAATGAGGGAGGAAGAATATACCAAAGAGATTAATGAACTAGCCAGATGTTTACTAGTGTGAGACATGAAAATAACCTAAGAGGAATAGTGTGAGACAATAGAATGTGGCCCAAAGTGGAAATGAGGCTAGAGTGAAACACTTGCAGAAGCCAAGTATGGAAGGCTGAATGGGGATTGATGATGTAAGGCTGCATGAGATGGTTATGTAATAATGAAGTGAAATGAGAAAAAAAAGTGTCTTCAGTCCAGGGGGCTTGGTCTTGTGACATCCATGGTGTTGCAGGCTGGCTGAATATTCCAGTGGGGGTTTGTCTTAGAGATGGCCGCGGGCTATCCATTGCGGATACCCTCTATCCGCTGGCGGATACCCGCCAGGGGGTGTGAATACGGCTGTGGATGGCTGTTTTTCCCCCCAAATCTGGCAGATATCCAGGTATCTCCAGGGATACCCAAGGCCAATGGCTGATGTACCTCACCGGGCTGGAGGGAAACCCTTCCAGCCGGTGCCTTGCCAACCCTTTAAAGGGCGGGTATTGGAAGATACCCGCTTGGATACCCGCTAAGGGCGGGGGGATAGCCGCCAGCGGCTGCAGATTGGAGTGGTGGATCGCTGTTTCCCTGGAAAAA